CAGAGAGAGGCCCGGGCTGAGCAGAGGACCTGGGCTGAGCAGAGACTGGGACTGAGCAGAGAGGCCCAGGCTGAGCAGAGGGCCAGAGGGAGCTGAGTGGAGTGCTGACTGTCTCCACTTCCCTCCAGTGTTGAGCCGAGCTAAGGCATTGGACCCAGAACTGCAGTGGACATCGGAGGACCAGAGAAGCAGCCCTGCTCGCGGCTCCGGCCGCCCCCGCCTTCCCTCTCCCCTCCACAGCCCACCCTTCCTTCCTCTGCCTGGGCTGGACCGAGAGCAATGCAGCCTGCTGGCTGAGAGGAAGAGGAGCTGGGAGGGGGCCTTCCTCCAGAGAGTGTGACTCTCCCAGGCCCCAGAATAGCTCCTGGACCCGAGCCCAGGCCTTGGCCTGGGACAAGGCTCCGAGGGTCGGCGCAGGGGCTATTTTTACCTCGTGCCTCCCTTGCTGTCCCCCCCACCTGACGCCCTGCTGCCTAGTCTGACACTGGATCCCTGCCCCCGCCCCGCCCCTCATCTGTGGACACTGGAGCGTGAAATAAATGCTGTCACGTTGACACCATTCTGAGGCCTGGGGCAGTGTGCAGGGCAGGGAGTGATGCAGGTAATCCCCTTCCCTTCATTGACCCCTTTAAAGCCCTCTGAAGAAGCCTGATGTCTTGGAGGAAGGCACGGTGTGGAGAAAACAGGATGACTCAGCTGGTCCACACAGGAAAGAGGGGTCCTGGCCACACAGGGGGTCCAGAGGACCCTGGGCCAGTTTCTGAGGACCAGTGTCTGTTTGGAAGTCTGTTGCTGTCCCCTTAAATGAGAATTCTCATTCCTTTTGCCAGAGTCCCAGAGGGAGTTGGAACCAGGGAAAGGAAAAACTCCCTCTCAGTTGTGGCGATGATGGAATTAGGAATGGAGCCTTTTGGGTCCCGGGGGAAATGGTGCTGAGTTGGAGGAGCCCAGAGAGGTTGGGGCCAGAGCCAGAAAAACGAGACTGTAGGGAAGGAAGAGAGATGTGCAGAAGATGGGGACACAGTAAGGCCAGTAGGGAGAGACAGACAGAACGGAAGTTCTGAGGGGTAATCGTTGTCAGAAACCACCCTCGTTGTCCTCAAGTCAACCCTACTTTATGACAGCCTCCACTGGGTGTCACAGTACATCTTCCTCCCAAGGAGATTTCAGGAGTTGTTCATCGAAAGTGGATTGCCAGTCCTTTCTTCCAAGGCACCACTGAGTGGACTCCAGTCACCACCTTTCTGGTTAATGACCAGATCCACCAGCTGCTCCCAAGGAGAAAGATGAGGTCCTCTGCTGCTTTAAAGATTTAGAGCTTTGGAATCCCTGGGGTGGCAGCTCCACTCCGTCCTACAGGGTCCCTGGGGGTCAGAATGGTTAGTCACCAGCTTGTTTTGGTGAAAGTCTGCTGTCAGAGAGCTCTCCAAAGTGCTGAAAAGCAATGATGTCAGTCTGGAGACTAAGGTGCGCCTGATACTATAGGCCATGGTCTTTGCAATCACTTGCTATGCATCAGAGAGCTGGACAATGACTAGGGATGATAGAAGAATTGATGCCTTTGAGCTGTGGTGCTGGAGAAGAGTATTGAATATATTATGGACTGCTAAGGGAACAAACAGGTTCATCCCAGAGAGGGTTAAACCAGGCTGCTCCTTGGAGGCAAGGATTCTGAAGCTTCGTCTGACATACTTTGGACATGTTGCAAGAACAGACCAGTCCTTGGAGAAGGACATCATGCTTGGGAGGGTGGAGGGACAGCGCAGGAGAGGAAGACCCTCGATGAGATGGATTGATTCAGTGACTGGGGTAGTGGGGGTGGGTGTGTCAGAGACAATAAGATTGGCACAGGATAGAATAGGGTTTAGAGCTGTTGTACATAAGGTTGCTATGAGTTGCGGGCGACTAGATGGCACATAACAACAACAGAGCACAACTAGGGAGCTCTGGGGGTGTAGCCAGTCCGAGGAGCTCTGCTTTCTTCTGTGTGATCCCATTGGCTGCTCTACAGGAGAAGGATTGGGGCAGCCTCCCCCACCCCGTGATTTATAGCCCTGGACACGCAATCGAGGTCAGCTCTGAGTCACTTCTGACTAAGTTGCTATGGAAGTTTTTAAAAATAGAATGAAGGGGCTCTGGTGGTACAGTGCATATTGCATCAGGCTGCTACACGAAAGGTGAGCAGTTCAGATCCACCAGCCTTCTCTCAAAAGTCCAACGAAGGGTCCCTGGGACTTGGAATCAGCTAGATGGCTGTTGTATGTGCCAGTGAGTGGGAATGAATTTGTCCCTGACCCTCTTGGCTCATCTTCTGCAGAGCAACTGGTGGGTTTGAACCAACTGCCTTTGGGCTGGCAGTGCAACTCCTTACCACTAAGTCAGGGGAGAAGCATTAAAAAGAAGAAGAATATTAAATACATATAGCAGATCTTAGGGGAGGTTTGGTAAGATAGCTCCTGGCACATTTGTGACGGAATCAAGGACAGGAAAAGTGTTCAGTACGTGTACGTGGGGTGTGGTGATGGTGGGAAAGAACAGAAAAGGGCATCTTGTCCCCAGAAAAGGGACAATGGTCCAGAGAGACCCTGGGAAGGGCAAAGTAGAGTGGGGAGCCTGGGGGGCAGTCGACAGATGGCTGGGGGAAGAGATAGAGGATGTCCTGGGGGAGAAGGGGTCCCTGCCCCAGCACCTGCTCCCGCTTTTTAATGAGGGGTGTGTCCCAGCCTTGCCTCCCCAGAGAGCATACATTTGCATAAAAGTTCCTTATCTGCATGACATTGAAGACCATTTACATACAGATGGCAAACCGAGCCCCCCTTCAATCTGACTCCTCTTCCCACCTTGGGGGAAGGGGATAATCCAGGACTCCAAGAGGTAAAGGCAAATTTGGAATAAACTCCCCTTGCTCCCCAGCCTTCTGTGGCCCACCCAGTACTCCCATAAATATGAGTCTTCCCTGCACCCCTGCATTCAAGGCTTTCCCAGATGCTGTCCCTCACACACAAGA